ATAATCGAATCGTGTGGTCAGGAAATCGATACTGAATCAAATCACCAAGATGGATGTGATTTACACCCCTATTGTTTCTACCTCTGACTTTTCAATAAAAAGATTTGAAAAAAACAAAAGAAAAACAAAAAAAAACAAGTATGTTTAAAAGAGAATGAAACTTAAAACCTACTTAATGGATTTAAATGTAGGATGATAAAAAACAAATAAACATCCTAACTTTCAGAATTAGGACTGAAATAGCCCCTGACATAAAGTTATAAATTGTTGATAATAGGGGTGCAAATCACATCCATCAATGCGATTCGATTCAGTATCGATTTCATGACCCAACGATTCGATTATTTTCGATACTCAAGAATACACCACGATACGATCAATTGGTTCATTTTTTTTTTACCTTACAGGCTAGACAATGTTTCAAATTTAAAAATAAATCAATGAAAGCTGTAATATTGTCATGTATTTTTTGAGAAACAACAGCAAATAACCGAAGTAGAAAAGTTGCACTCCACCTATTCCTATTAAAACCTCATTCACTGAAAAATAATAATGCCCCTGCGTTATAGATTCTGCAAGGCCTTGCATCAAAAAATACTGCACAAAATCAGTGCAATGAGTGCAATGCAATACCTCGGCTCCAGACGTCCTCTTGGCCACCAAAGTATGCCTTTGTGTTTGCTCAGCTTTTTACCTCAAACCACAGAATCTTTCAATCTAATGCAATGTTGGAGGAAGTTCTTGGAGGCCACTAAAGTATAAGAGAAAGGGTTCCCAAACAGATTGAAATTTGTCTGAGCGCCTTATAGCAAATTAGATTTTTTCCAACTGCAAAAATAACATTACAACTTTCAACCCCTGAGCGACAGTAGGTGGCGCACTTGACTTCCAGCGAAGTAGAATTCGCCTTCGTGCAATCAGAGAAACAAATGCTATAATGTTCTGTTGGTTCTCAGTTCAATTTGCTTCATTTTTTTGTTACCCTGAATATGCAGCTCAGGTGAGTTATTAGGGTCAGGGGTTAAGAGCAGATGAAAATCCTTTTGTCTCGTCTTTCCATATTTGTCTATCTTTACCATAAAAAAGAAGAAGCCTTTTTCAGGAAAGGAATGTTGTTTCATCAGTCGCCCCACTTCATCCTTCAGCCACTTTAAGTCACATTTCCCTCTCACCCTCTCATACTTTTCTCACCACCGTATTTTTGCCCTTTTCTGAACTTTTTTCAATTTTATTTTGTTTTTTGTAATTTAATCTTAGGTTAATTCCTCAATTTTACAAGTTTTAATTTCACCTTATTTTATGCGCTACTTACTTTCATTCTGTAATAATTTGATAGTTTTTTTAGCTATGAGTTATTAATTTCGCCTCTATCTTATCCTCATATTGCTTTATCTTATCTTTAACATTTTTGTATTGCAACATTAGAATAACCTGATTTTCTTAGCATTTAATCAAAAATGTCTCCTTGGGCAGTTGACAATTTCCTAGGACCTTGCCTTACACCAATCCTCTGGTGCCGACCTGGATAACTGGGGGGGAACCTACTCTAAGATACCGACGTCGCAGTAAAATTAAATGCCTTCTGGTGGCACCTACAATCTTCCTCTCACTCTTAGAGAGAGCCTCACGTTCCTATGCGAGGGTCTTGTGGTCCACATGTGGAAAAAAAAAAACCCGAATTGCTTTTCTGCTCCCCAAAAAGAAAAGTTATCTTTTATTTTAGACTTAGTCTTAGACTTAGACAGTACTTTATCGATCCCTTGGGAAGACTTCCTCCGGAAATTAAGGTTACCAGCAGCTTACAGGGCAAAAAAGTATTAAGTTAAATGAAATTAAAATTAAGCAAAATACAAATAAATATAGAGTTCACATTTAACAGAAAAAATAAAAAAAATACAAGTGTTGCTACTCCTTCCCTCTTCCCCCTGTCCCGTGTCGCCTCCAGTGAGGCGTTGTACAGTCTCATGGCGTGGGGGACAAAAGAGTTCTTAAGTCTATTGGTCCGGCACTTGGGAAGCAGCAGTCTGTCACTGAACAGGCTCCTCTGGCTGTATTTATATTCTTTAGTTTTATACTAATTTTAATGCTTTTGAAATGATTATTAATCTTTAATTTAGTTAGTTTTTTTTTGCTAGATTACATTTATTTATTTGATTAGTTTAGTTTGTTTGAGCTAATTTTCCAGTATTTGATTTCTAATAATCTTTAAAGCTGTTAACAATCTGTTGTTTTGTAATTTAGTTTTTAAAATTTACTTTAAACTGTGCCGACAAAAGATGCATCTCACCATCTCAAAAAGAAATGCTTTCTTTTGATCCTCCTGCTGACCTCCAAGGACCTCGATGCCAGAAGTCCTCACTCCCTTAATCTTCTAAACAGGGTATTGAGGCTGGAAGACTGCTTCCTCCAGGTGGTACCTGACACTTCTGACAATCGCTGTCCTCAGAAAAAATCAGTAAAGGAGAATCCTGCTTTGACAACACCAAATTGTAGCGGGAAAAAAAGTATTTGACTATTCATCCTAGTTAAATAAACGGAGACCGATGGATTTCACTCAGTTGGCACATTTATTCATATCTTTGCAAAGAGAGAACAGTTCATCATACAGCCCTTATGGCACAGCATTCTGCTCTGTTCTGATCTGGACAGCGTTCGTTCCCCCTTACTTACAACAATGGAAAAGTTGTCAGAGTCAAAACAAATTACAAACACTTTAGTTAAACAGTAAAATTTTATGAATAAACCTTGAGAAAGAATCTGGTTTGGTATGGGAAGAAACTATGTCTGGTCTACAAACACCATCCTGCAGAGAATTGTCTGGCCTTGAAGTTGAATCAGGCTGAGTGAAAACTTTTATAGTGAGTAAATAGGATAAAATAATATATAATAGAAGAGAAATCTACATTTTCTGACAACAGTTACTCTCAGGTTGCAGTTTGGCAAGCGACAGCTCAACACAAAATGGAAAAGGTTATAACTACAAGTGAGAAGTTTGTTCTCAAAAAAGGAATAAAATTATCCGTTGTTAGGAACTGCAGGGCTTAAAGTTCTCCGGCATAGTGGCAGATTTCCAGCTTGCATCAACTGTGGTTGTATTAGAAGAAATGGGATTGTGTATTGAAATGCATATTTTAAAACCATCAGAAAAGGTTTCTGCTCCAGATAGTTAACAAGCTAGCTGTTAACTGATGCAGGGCTGCCGATAGCACGGCTTGGTAGTGATCTGAAAAGGGGTCCCTATGTCCTCCAGCAGTCTAAGCCTATAGCAGCATAACTATAGAGATAGCTCTGGATAACCTGAGCCACTCTAACTATAAGCTTTATCAAAAAGGAAAGTTTTAAGCATTGCCTTAAGAGCAGACATGGTGTCTCCCTCCGAGGCTAAAACTGGTAGTTGGTTCCACAGGAGAGAAGCCTGATAACTAAAAGATTTGTATCCCATTCTATTTTTAGAAGTTCTAGGAACCACTAGTAAACCTGCAGACTGACAGGTAAGTGCTCTGTTAGGAACATAGAGAATGATCTGATATAAGATCTAGTTTGACCATTGAATGCTTTATATGTGAGGAGAATTCAATTCACAATTCACTGAAATCCTTTCACAGCTCTAAAGTAACGGTTCAGAGGTTAATCTCTAACTATATTGAGAAAAAAAATCTCTAAATCTATATTCTACTAAATTCCTATGAACATATTGCAGCTCAAAAGGTGATGTGATCAATTGACTCAAAATCGTTGTTGGACGATAGCATTCCACAAGGGTAAAAAGGTGACACCTTTCATTTTTGCATATTAAAGGGGAACTTTGTTTTTTTTACATTGGGCCCTTGATTTTACGTTATCACATCATGTTCTAGGCGAATCACTTTCCCCCAGACAACCGCGGTTATATTTTTTATATTCATATTTTTTAAAAACAGCGTGTATGACGTCACCGGCTACCGTTCATTCATCCTGTCCTCTTAACTGCTGCTAGTTTTACTCACATGCCTGGAAGATGTCTAGTGCTACTACCACAGATGATCTTGCTCTCGAAATGGAATTGAATGATTCAGATTAGCTCGCCGAATGAATAGAAGGGGTAGAGCGTAGCCGCCTGGGGCCCGGGCTTCCTGTTACGACTCCAGTCCGGCGCGCAGACGATGTCATACACGCACTGCTTTGTTTTATAAATATAAAAAATAAAACCGTGGATGTCTGGGAGACAGTGATTCGCCTACATGTTATGAATACTGGCGTACCATAAATAATAAATTATGAACAGTTTACTTTGTGCTTCAAGTCATTGCCCATAGGAAGACGTTACCTGGATATAACCTAAAGGAATATCTTCAGAACGGCTCCAAATGAGACAAAACTCATATACATGAGTAGAACATGATGTAATAACGTAAAATCAAGGGCCCAATGTAAAAACAAAACAAAAAAACAGAAGTTTCCCTTTAAGTGTCTTTAATCTTTTTATTTAATTTAAAAACTACAACTACAACTACTACAACAATCAGACACCTGAACCTGGATTAGATTATTCCAAGCTAACAGTGGAGAAATTTCATTAGAATATTTTTGGAAATCTGCTCAACCTCTGACACATTGAGCTGGGGTCTGTCTCTTCCAGGCAGAGGTGTACAGGAAGCGCTGCTGAGTTTAGGGTGTCTCATTGATTCCTCATTTTCCAGACAGTCACTGTGGTGTTGGATGTAAATGCTTTACTTTCCTTAATAATTGTTTGTGGGGAAATACATTTAGGCCAAAATGAATGAAGATTCAGGTTGCTTGATAGGATCCACTGGCTCCTCAACCTCAAGGAGAGAGTTTGGTGCTTTTATGTGAGGTGTCCTTTATTTAACCACCAATAGAACGCCTTTTTGCTGTGTTTGTGTTTCCAGACCGCCTGCAGGATTATGTTGGAAAAGAGGAGGATTTCTCTGACCATCAGCTCTGTGGACAGGGGAGGAAATCCAGTTTGGACCAAGAGGAATCTGAACATCCGCAGATAAAAGAAGAGCATCAAAAGCCAGAACATCCCTGTATAAAAGAGGAAACCATGGAGCTCCCCATAAGTGAGCAAAAAGAACAGCTTGTTCTTAAGCAGACGATTAAAGATACAAGAGAGAATCCTTTCCCATGTTTGACATGTGGAGAAAACTTTCTTAAAAAAAAGCATTTAATGGTTCACATGAGAACTCACAAAGGTGAGAAGTTTTATTGTCTGTCCTGTGGAAAATGTTTCTCAAAGAAATCTAGACTTGATAAACATATGAAAATTCACACAGGTGAGAAGCCTTTTTCCTGTACCATTTGTAACAATAAATTTAATCGAAAGGATCTTTTGACTAGACACATGAGATTTCACACAGGTGAGAAGCCTTTTGAATGTCTGTCCTGTGGAAAAAGCTTCACTAACAAATCTTATCTTGATAGACACATCAGAATTCATACTCGTGTGAAGCCTTTTGAATAAGTCACAGTCAGCAGTTAGATGCCACAGGAATGAACAGTAGAGGTGTTTACCATGTTTGACTGGTGATAAAATGTCCATCTAGAAACTCCTTCACCTCATTACATTAGAAACTCACGGGTTAATGTCCTTTTTTTTGAGGACAGTTTTGAGAAAGCCATTAATTAACAGCTCTGTTTACATAGAAACCAGAACAGATAATGTGTTATTTGGTAAATCCTGTACTCAGTTGATCTAAGCAATTGATAAGGTTAAATAGAAAAAAAAAATCAAGGCAGACCCATACTGTGCAACTTTGGCATGGTGTTGCACATCTTTTTTCTGAATTAATTTATTAAGAAAAAAAACTGTAGTTTTATTTTTTACACTAAGAAACTTTTAGTTGAATGATAAGCTATCGGTTGGTTATATTCCAGAAACAGACTTTTATTCAGATGAAAATATCCTCAGATGAAAATAAAAGCAAAGCTAGTACAGATTTAATGTGCTTTGCTCAGTGTTGCTGATGTTTCTGGAGGATTTTCTAAGAGATCAGCTGCAAATGATCAGAGTTTAACTAATTCAGTGTCTTGTTGGCTTTCATTAGCAATGCATCAATCAGCCCTGCTACGTGTGTTGTTGAAACCAGGCCCACCAACACTCCAACTGTTTTTGGCACAGTGTTAGAGCTATGGTCAATAGATATTAGAATGAAGTAGATCATCTATAGAGGAGTCTCAGATGAAGATTTGGGACATGTATAAGTGTGTGTCAGTCTCAGAGTTAGTCAGCTACAAGCTAATTAATGTTTCAAAGTAGCTCCAGCCACCTTGAAAGGGGGTGCTGGGATTATGGGGTTAAACTACGGGACATCAAAGAACTCAGTTTAGAGGCTGGAGTCTGTAGTTCAGGTAAATTGGAGTCCTAAAATGATGAAACATGTTTGTTTAAAAAGATAAACAGGATTGATGATGTTGATGTTATTTTACTGATCAGTTTGAACCTGCTTTAACTTGGTAAAAAGCCTTTGTCTTAATAATGTATTAAAGAAATCTGACTCTCCTCTAGAAGTGTGAAGTTTCTGCTGTTTAAAGATTTTTTTGAAAGTTTTTCCTTTGAACTAATTCTAATAGTTTTGTTCTTGATTCTGTAGATGTTCTATTTACCTGCTATGATTGAAAGTAACTATCATCTATTTTATACAACTGATTTTATGGATTATATTGTGCTGTGGATGTTTTCAATTATTGTAATCGCTTCTAAATTGATGAACGAGCAGCAATAAAAACCTCATGGATTGTAAAAATGTGCTTCTTTATATTGTTTCATTAAATTGCAATCTTTTTCCATGTTTTCGCTGATATTTTGAGGAAAACTAAAGCTGTAAAATAAATAGTTTAATGGCATTCACCTTCTGTCTTCTCCAGTCTTTCCTGTTGCTCCTCCGTCAGCATTAATCTTTTTGCTTTTTAGAGCCTGAGTGTTTTCAAATCTGGCCATTGGATAAATCCTCCTTTGCTTGTTGGAGAACTTAGATTAGGAAATAATGTAGGTACGTATTCTGGCCCAGTTGGTTTGGCACCTGATAAAACAAGTGTTTCAGTTGCTATAACTGTGTGTGTCCAGAGCCGCTACAACCAAGCAACTAGAGGAATGAAGGATCTAACTATGGCTATGTTCACAATGCAGCCTGAAGGGACCCTAATCTGATTTAATTTTGTTTTATTTGTTTTTTTTTATTGTCAATATGTAATCTGTACCTGATGTTTTCATGACAGTCTGAACATTAAAAATCTGATTTTGCAACAATAGTTCTGGACCATTTATAGAAAAAGTGACAATGTTGGAGGTTTTTGATGAACAACTTGTACAACACAATTTGTGTAGTTGTACACAAAATTGAAAAATAACTACCTGTTTTTTTTCTATTATTCTACAATTACAAACTTATAATTTAACTCTCTCTGCAACTTCAAACTCACCTTCATAGCAAGAATCCTCACACTGCAGCTTTTTCCTGACAGCGTGAGCAGGTTAATATCTGTGCATACAGCGCCGTAATTATTACCAATCACATGTGGTCCCTAGGAGGTAAAACTAAAATGAAAGTCTAAAGAAACCTCACCATTAAGCCTCAGTTTTTCTTTCTGCTGTTTTTCAATATGAAAGCAATCTGAAGAGTTCTTAGCCTCCTGGATTCAACAAGCCCTGTAGCAAATGAAGGTCCCCTGAACTTTGTCTAGAAAGAAGTTATCTAATTGAGATTTTAATTCCTCATGTTGAAGCTGCTCCTCAGATGATATAATTGATTTTCTACATAATTGTTGATATAAATCAGTTGTTATTGTTTTTTTGCCTCAATTTTATAAACCAGTTTATTAATCCTGACTGCAACTTTCTTAGCACTAAATGTGAGCTATTCCTATTACCTCAAAGGTGAAAGTTCCATCAATGAAATATTCTTAATCAGGTTACTAATTTCTGTGCAGAAATCCCTATTATGCCAGAAGTTAGTTCAATTACCAAATAAAGGATGATGGTGATTTACATTTAGTCAAAGAGAGAACAAAAGTAACAGCAATGATCAGTTAAAGGGGATGGTAATATTTTACCACACAATATTATAAATCATGTAAGGAATCAACCAATAGTCTACTTGAGGAATTTAATCAGGTGTTTTGTCTCAGATGCCTTGATCTCCAACAATCAGATTAAAACTGGAGAATAAAAATATCCTCAATGAGAGGATGCTGCCATTCAGTGGGAAAACGATTATTGAATCCATCTGGAGCTACAATAATCTCCCCTCCAATGAGAACCTGTTCAGTGAAGTATTTAAGCTTCCACTGCTCTATTTCCTTTAGGTTGAATTTGTTATTTGTTAAACACAGTTCTTAGAAATATGAATTGGCTACAATATAATGATTATTTTGAAGTCTTAGTCTTTTTTTATAAAATCCTTGTACATTTAAATTACAAATAATACAAATACAACAAAAAAGATCATAATTACTTATAAAAAATCCCTGCTATATAGATCCTTTCTATAACAACCATTATGCTTTATAAAAACTTAGACAAACATCAATCCCATTTTCTATGCACAGAGTTTATACAAAATTTAATTTGGGAAGTCCAGGCTCTGTATCACAGGTGGTTTGTGCGGTAAATGTGCTTGAATTCAAGCAGAGTTAATTCTTTACACCGCTCATTCTGGGCTATCATGGAAAGGTTTCATGAGTCTTAAGATCTATGAAGAAAACAGAACACATAACTGTTATGTTGTTCCTGCTTTTTACATACTGTGATTTGGGTAATAAAGGTTTTACAAAAAAGTTGGATTTCTAACCCTGAATCAGAAGCATAGAAGTGGCTGCAGTACCCTGAGGCAATGCCTTCACTATAAACCCCCTTAACTCTCCTCACCTTCCTCGTCCCCAGAAACCTGCACTGGATGAAAGTGTGGCGATACTCAGCTCTAAACTCTGAAAATAATTTTCCCCAGTCAAGAACACCTACAATTTCAATAGGTTTTAATGTATGTATATAAATCCAAATCCTACCTCTCCTGAATAATCTGTATAAGCTTTGATACAGCTCTATAAGCCTTATCAAAAAGAAAAGTTTTAAGCCTAACCTTAAAAGTAGACAGCTAGTTGGTTCCACAGGAGAGGAGGCTGATAACTAAAAGATCTGCCTCCCATTCTATTTTTAGAAATTCTAGGAACCACTAGTAAATCTGCAGATTGAGAGCAAAGTACTCTGTTAGGAACATAAGGAACAATCATATGTCTGATATAAGACAGCTTGGCCATTTAAGGCTTTAATAAGTGACAAGTAGGATTTTAAATTCTATTTTGGATTTAACAGGAGGCCAGTGAAGGGAAGCCAGGATAGGAGAGATATGATCTCTCTTTTTAATTTTCATCAGAACCCTGGCTGCAGCATTTTGGATTAGCTGAATACTTTTAACTACAATTTGTGGACTTCCCGATAGCAAAGAATTACAATAGGCCAGCCTTGAGGTAACAAAGCATGGAGTAGTTTCTCAGCATCTCCCCTGGACAGGATATTCTAATTTTTGCAATATCCCTCAGATGAAAGAAGGAAATTCTAGAAACCTCTTTGATATGGGATTTAAATGGCAGGTCCTGATCAAAAACCACAACAAGATTTTTTACTTTATTATCTGAAATCAGTTTAATCCCATCCAAATGAAGTGACTGGCTAATCAGCTTCTTTTTTAAAGACTCTCGTCCAAAGGCTATAACTTCTATTTTGTCTACATTCAGAAGGAGAAAGTTATGAGCCATCCAGTGTTTTATGTCTTCAAGACATGCCTGTAATCTGTGTAATGGGTCAGCTTCATCTGGATTTATAGACAAATATAGCTGGGTATCATCAGCATAACAGTGAAAATTAATCCCATGCTGTCTAATAACTCTACCGATTGGAGCATATATATAGTAGAGAGAATTGGTCCTAGCACTGATCCTTGTGGTACTCCACAGGTAACCTTTAAGCATGAGGAAGATTTGTCATTAATGTGAACAAATTAAAATCGATCACATAGATATGATTTAAACCAGTCCAGTGCTGTTCATTTAATTCCAACAAAATATTCAAGTCCTTCTAAAAGAATATTATGGTCAACCGTATCAAATGCAGCACTGAGATCCAACAGGACGAGCACAGATACAAGTCCATCATCTGAGGCCATGAAAATATCATTACCAACCTTCACCAGAGCTGTTTCAGTGCTATGATGAGCTCTAAAGCCAGACCAAAACTCTTCAAAAAGTTCATTATGGTGTAAGGGATTGCACACTTGTTTGGCAACTACTTTCTCAAGAATTTTAGATAAGAAAGGAAGATTGGAAATAGGTCTATAATTGACCAAGTTATTTGGGTCAAGAGACAGTTTCTGAAGCAAAGTTTTAATACAGCTACCTTAAAAGCCTTTGGTACATATCCCTGTAACACAGATAAATTAATCACATCTAAAATGGAGGAGGAGATCAAAGGGAATACCTCCTTACATAACCTGGTTGGAACTGGATCTAATATACAAGTTGAAGGCTTAGATGAAGACAATAGCTTTGCTAACTCTAAAAGTTCAACTGGATCAAAGCAGTCTAAACCTGGTTCAGATTCCATGACTACCTCAGATGCTGCCCCACCCTCCAGAGACAAACCAATCGCAGATAGAGGAGTGATAATGATCTTATTTTTAATAAGATCAATCTTATTTATAAAGATTCCAATAAAATCATTACTGCTAAGAGCAGGTGGAATGGACGGTTCAACTAAGCTATGGTTCTGGGTGAGTTTGGCAACTGTATTAAAAAGAAAGCTAAGATTATTCTTATTCTCTATTAATGAGGAGAAATATGCTGTTCTTGCTTTACAAAGGGTGCTCATATACAGCAGTAAACTAAGGACTAGGTAGGATTCCCGTAGGCCTGGGTTAGGGTTAGGGATATATTTCCACTCCAGTTTGCTAGCATTTTGCTTCAAAGTGCGCAGCTCTGCATTAAACCAAGGAGCCAGCTTTCTATTTTTAACAGTTTTCAGTTTCAAAGGAGCTGCATTGTCTAAGGCAGTATGCAGAGAACTAGCAACCCCACCAACAAAATCATCAACCTTTGAAGGGGAATAAACTAAGCTTTTGCACTCTGCAGCACTGCTCAGTGACACAGAGGAGAAAGAAAGTGAAACAGATTCTTTAAAATTTATAACTACACTACCTGATAATGATCTGCTAAAACTGAACTTTGTTCTGGGGGAGGAGAACTCTGTTAAAGTAATCCTGAAGGTTATTAAAAAGCGGTCAGAGAGGACAGGGTTGTGAGGAAATACTGTTATTTCTTCACATTCTATGCCATATGTCAGCACAAGATCCAAAGTATGAAGATGAGAGTGTGGGACTATTCACATTTTGAACGAAGCCAATAGTGTCTAAGATAGCGTTAAAAGCTGCTCTTAAGCTATCGCTTTCAATGTCAGCATTGATGTTAAAATCTCCCACTATGATGACCCTGTCAGTGTTTAATACCAAATAAGAAAGGAACTCTGAAAATTCATCTAAAAATTCAGAGTAAGGACCTGATGAATGATACAAAGTTACAAAAAGAAGAGCTTTTCTTGCTTTGCAATTTGGATGAGGGAAATTAAGTGTTAAATGTTCAAAAGAGTTGTAAGTATTAACTACATTGGGAGCAGTGACGTGCGGTGAGGTTCATAGCTGGTGAGGCACTGACGTCATCAGAATCAGATTTGCAAATAGATGCATAGATTGACAGCAGTTTACAGGTTATGTTTCACTTCTGCATCCTTACACATACAAACTGTAGCTCACAAAACACACATTTCCTTAAAAAACAAAACAAAATAAATGTTATTACTGTCTTA